AATTTTGTAATAATTTTGTATAAAATGGTTGAAGAATTGGGCAATATTTAGATTTCTCAGTTTCAAGAGAACGTAGGAAGGGATTTGCAAAGAGGAATGCAGATAGATTTCGATCTCGTCTAGCTCTGTTCCGGCGGAACGATAAAAATACACGTAACACGTCTGTCCTACCAATACATCGTCGTTCTGTCACGGATTTCCTTAGCTCGGTCGCCTATCGACCGAGCAGTCAGCTCTGCCCGATGCGACTGGCGTGCATTGAATCAGCCAATTGCCAGGAATCACGGTTCAGTGCTCTTGTGATTACTCGCGGAGCCGATCGTTCGTGCACACGAAGTTTAGGCGAGAAACAGCACACAGTGACTGACGAGTCGGAAAAGAGACACCGACTGCCACCCTGTAGATAAAATAATCTTCCCGAGGAGACTTCATTTCTAGTGTCAAAAAAGGCTAACATTGATTTCTCATTTAGTCAATTTATTTATGTGCAACCCAGTATAAGTTTCGATTTCTAGCTTTTTCTCTACAATTTTATACGAGAAGCGAGATTGTAACGCGAGCACGAATTAGGACATTTATTATACTATAAGAAACAGAATCCATACCAGGTTCGTTCGAGTTCCGGTACTTGGGAATTACCGCTCGATTGTGATTCATGGAGCAGCTTCGTGGAATAGTTGTAAGAACTTCCAATATTTAGAGACGAGGCGTGATTGAAATAATCGCCTGATCCGACGTCTTCCACCTACCGTAAAGTTAGGAGAGTTCAATGGCTGAGAAGATTTGATTCAGATTTCGGTACAGGAATTTAACAATAATTGACATCTAACTTTCTTCCATTAAAATATAGTCTCCTCTCGTTTCATAGTCTCTTTTATGACGTTAAATACTTCATGAGTCCATCGATAAATCATGGTAAACAGTAACAACAGGACGCGTACTTCTTTGTAAAAAGAACTCGTTGAAGTAGCGGAGAGGGTGGCGGGATATATCGAAGTTATTACAACACGAACACGAGAAAGTCGTTACCCGTGATAGGTGAAAAAGATTTACGCGATAATAAAAAGATATTCAAGGAGAAGCGAAACTACGGTCTGCGACGAATTATGGCAGGTCGGGACACAGGTAAAGCCGTAATCTATCTACACTGAATGGAACATCAATTTATCGCGCCTTTTACGAGACAAATACTTCCTGCGAAATGGCTTGCTTAACTTTCGAGAGTATTTCGATTCTCATGGGTCTCCTGATTGTAATACCAATTTAGAAATACAGAAAATAATATCTAAAGAATTGCAGGATATATATAAAAAAAAAAAAAACGGTTTTAATAAGTAAATTAAATTCCTGTCTGTATTTTCTAAATTTATATTACGAATGTTTTGTTTTCTAAAAGAGAACAGTCATGTATCGATGCTTGGAACAATCGTAAGCTGCAGGAATATCCAAACAAATGTCGTTTAAAGTATCGGTGTCTTCGCGCGGAAATGTTCCTGAGGGTGGCGTGTTCGGATTAATTCCGGGTCAGACGCGATGCCGAGTGGAAATACGGTGGAATACGGCGACCGATGTAAATATCCTCCGCCTCGTCGAACGCAAATGTTTGCCTTTTACAATTTCGTGCTGGCTATCTCGCGACTAGCCCCCCGCGCAACTATCCCTATAATTTTCGGACAAGCGACGCTTGCCCGAGTCCAAACCCAATATTTCGCTCGGCTTTTGCTCGACCCTCGAAAGTCTTCGAAATTCATCGGTGATCAAAAG